TTTTTTTATTTTTTTTTATTTTTTTTTTTTTAGGGGGGGGGAATGGCGGAAAGGATTTTCGCGTTACCTTGATTCTTCGCTTTCGACAAGTAAGACAGCCGGTCTTTGTTCGTCGCTTGATCTCTTTCTTGTGTCTTCCGCCAGACATTATTCGCTCCGAGGGCTGCATGACCGAAGGCAATGGGTATCGTAGGTTAGGCTGATGTGGTGAATTTGAAAGGTGTGGTGGACCACCCGGCATGGGATAGTAGCCTTGCATTCCTGGTAGCGATGGCGAAGGCGCAGGTAATGGTGATCCTACTTGGAGGGTTTGAGGAACGGGCGATGAGGTCGGAGGTGGTGCTAGTCGGATTGGAGGGAGAGAGAAATTTGATGACCCAACTCCGGGGAGCGAAGCGGCGGAATAAGTTGGAGAGTCTCGAGCAGATCCTGGCTGTTGAGGATAGGAATAAGAGGACATAGAAGGTGACGGATAGGAGCCAGGAGAAGGGTAGGAGGTGATGTTCTGTCTGTTTTGAAGGGGAGGTTGAGCATAAGAGAATGTGGGAGAGGGAGTCGAGTGTGGTGAGGGCCTATGCTCAAGATGCCCGAGATGGGGAGAGGAAATATGCGGCTGGTACCGAGAGGAACCATGCACGCTGGTTGGCCTGCTATCGGGATGGTTGCTGTTGTACTCAACCATGATCATACCTGAAGATACTTTTTTTTTGGATTTTTTAAAATTTTAATTTTAGTTGTATTGTCTCTTTCTTTCGAGAACTTGCTCTCGTAGTATCAGCAGCAGCAGCAGCAGCAGCAGCAGTATTGGTGTCGGGGTCGGAGTCGATATCGGTATGATAGTGGTGGTGGTGGTGGTGGTGGTGGTGGTAGTAGTAGTTATTGTTATTGTTGTTATTGTCGTCGTCGTAGTTGTCGTAGTCGTTTAACTAATCGTCTTTCGTGTGAGAATATGTGTAAGAGCGGCTTCTATTTTGCTTCTATCAAGAACCGATAGAAAGGTGTCAGTCGCAAGCTTATCCCTTTATTTTGTTTTAATTTTTAATTGTTTTTTTCCCCAAAGGTCATGCTTTCCCCTCCCCGCTAGTTTCGGCCTGATCCTAAGGAATTGACTGAGGAAAAAAGAGAGAAAACAGCGGTGAGAGAATTGGGAAAGGGCAGGGCAGTTTAGCGGTGGTGAGAGTTTGTGGGTGCGGTGCAGTGCAGTGCAGTGCAGGCTGGCAGGGTGTGGTGTGGATGGGTGGGTGGTGTGGGTGTGTGTGCGATGAGAATGATGTAAAAGGGTTACAAAGGAGAGAGAGACCGGCTTCAAAAGAAAAGAAGAAAAAAAAGAAATGGAAAAAATAGAAAGAAAGAAAAAGAATAAAATAAAAAAATAAAATAAAAAAAAGCAGAATGGATTGCTAAACAGAAGGAAGCATATGCAGTTGTAATGGTGCAGGGCGCAAGCTAACACCGACTAGACCCGCTCGGGGTCCTTCGGATTCCTGGCAAACAATCACTAACCTGAGGACAACGGAGAACAAAAAAAAAAAAAAAAAGTAAAATAAGTAAAAATAAAAAATAAAATAAGATAAAATAAGATAATGAATAATAAAATAAATAGAAAAAGGCAAATTAGGCCAGAGGAAGAGAGGGAGTCGAGGGATAGTTGGATCGTGAAGTGTGTGATGATGTGAAAAAGGGGAATCAGGAGAGAGGATTGAGAGCGATGGTGATGACGATGATGATGATGATGGAGATAGTGAAGGAGTCAGGAATGAAGAAGGATAGAATGACGATGGCAATAGTTCTACTCTTCTTCTTCTTCTGCTTCTGCTTCCGCTTCTTATTCTTCTCCTTCTTCACATACTCGTACTCCTTCTTCCTCTTCTTCGTCTTCGTGTTCTTGTTCTTGTTCTCCTCCTTCTGATTCCTCTTCTTCACTTTGCTTTAAACGGTATTATCAATACGGATATCAAACATGGTCATCGATATGGGTATGAATGAATGGTCTCGCTTCCCTGGTTCAAGGTTGGCCTTGCCGAACTGTTGGTTTGGTTCGCTTTGGTTTCGAACAGTTTTAATAGGAAAAGTGTCCGAGTCCAGAATGAAAAGAACGGGTCGGCTAAAGCGTCAACCAGCAAGAGGGAACGCCCACGTTCGAGAATAAAAATAATAAAAGATAATAAAACAGGTCAAGCTAGTAGCAGTAAGATTGACGAGATGTCTCGACGTCTCGTCTCCCTTTACCTGTTGAATTTGCTTTTCCTTCGAACGGAGATTTTTTTAGGCGGGCAGATGAATGTGGGGGGTTAACCAAATAAAAAAATTTAAAAATAAAAAAAGGATTCGGAGGAGAACCTTTTCGACATTAAGTTTTTTCGTTCTCTCTCTCCCTTCTCTTTGAGTGGACATGAGAAGGAATGTTGATTATAACTAATAATGCCTGGGGGAGGGGAAAATAAAAAAAAATAGAAATAAAAATAAAAAATTACCCACCGTTTGAAAGATCAGAGAAAAAGAAAAACACGGAAATGCAAGGAAGGGAGGGCTTTAAAGCCCGAGTCTAGGGAGGTGACTCTGTATATGTATACGCACATGCACGAAGGTACGTACTTACATACAATGGAGCGAGGGAGAGCGCTGGCTGGGCGTCAGTTTGTCCAATGTTTTTCAAGTTCGGCCTGACCCAAAAATAAATAAAAAATAAAAAAAAAGAAGAAAATGCGAAAAAATATTGGAAAATGTCGGCTACGGCCAGATAACCGGGCGACCCAGATCTATTTATGACTTGGGTATGTGTCGTAAGCCGTAAGTAATCCCGAACGAATTTTGTCGAGGGACGGGCACGACAGGCAAGGCAGGCACGAAACGACAGGGCATCAGACAGGCGAGAGGGTGGCACGTAACCGAGCTCCCTGCTCACTGGATCGCTCGTTCTGTTCTGTTTCGCTTGACTGCGTGGTGACCTGAGCCTGACTTTTCGGTTGGACAGACGGACTTGGCTTCTTTGGCCCTAGCCGGAAAAGAAGTTTTCCAGAACACCATGCAGAACAAAAGGAAAACGAGGGTGTATGTATGATGATGGTGGGTCGCTAAAACAAAACAACTGGACCGGATGGAGGCACTCACGCTTCGTATTATGCTTGTTTGCTTTGCTTTATTCGGGCTGTTTTCTGTGCTGGCGCTTGCTTTTCTATTATATTCTTTTTTTCTCTGTATAGTTCTGCGTATACCTCGGATTCCCAAATCTTTTTTTGGTTAACGACCCCTTTTTACTATGTCGGATTTTTGATAGATGGATAGGGGGGGTTTTCCTGTCAAGTTTTGTGTGAAATATACTCTCTCAAAGTGAGACAGCAGAGCGTATTCGGGTACCAGCGTCGTTAGACTCGGAGAAAGAAAGAAAATTCTGATTCTGAAAGTCAAAGGCCTCCTTCAACAGGGTTGAGTCGAGGGGAAAGGGCTAGGCACAATGAACTAGCCAAGTTAGCGAGCGAGAATCCTCTCCAAACTTTAAACAAGGAATTCTATCTCATCGAAAAAAATAAAATATAAAAAATGAAATGAATAAAAACAAATGAAAAACGCAGTGAAAAAGGCTGCCATTTAAATCCAAGAAATTTCAGTGGACGACAGGATCACGATAGCAAGGCCACTTGGGTACTCTTTGGGACTGTTGGTACCCATAAGTACCCTGTACCAAGTCCATCCGCATATCTGCTGGTGATAGTTGGGTCCAGCTGAAGATGTGTGCGAGGGGTACATGCAGTGTGGTTAGGTAGGCGATGGTGGCAACAACCCGACGCTAACCCTGCACGCCCACGAAAATTTCAAGTCCATGATCCTTATTTTCTTTTTGTGCATGGAGAAAAGGAAAATAGTGCCCCGAAAGGAAACCAGTTCGCTCCGGGCCACCAAAGTAATGAGGACTCCTCAGAACTGTTTTGCCTTGTCGTCCTCGAG